GAAGGTCAAGCGAATCATCCGAGAGTGCGAGAGAACGAATGAGAAGTTTACCGACCCCGACTTCGATATCGAGCGCGACCCTAAAAAGAATTGTCTTAACGGTCTTATCCGTGACGGGGACCAGGGTACTGGCGGAAGTGGCGCCGCGGGAGATGTGCCGTATGTGAGCAGCTGGGATGTGAAGAACAGCCTCGACACACTTAACGCCGCGCAGATCTTGGGTCCCAGCTCTACTATCCCCATCGACCCCACGGCGGTGAGCCGTTTTCTTGGGGGCGACAGTGACATCTGGAATCCCTTTGCCAATGCAGCTGCCGGTAAGGGAGCCAAGTCGGGATCTGGCAAAGTCTCGAAGCGTCATGGCGTCCGTGGAGGCGAGTACTACAACCCTGGTTCAATCCACCGCGTTGACTGGATCTTTGATTCGCCGCAATTCACGATGAACGGCTACTCGTCTTCCGATATCAAGCAAGGTTCTAACGGTGACTGTTGGTGGCTCGCCGCGGTTGCCACCATTGCGCACCGGAAAGACCTCATGGAGAAAGTCTGCGTTGCTCGCGACGAAGAGTGTGGTGTCTACGGCTTTGTCTTTCAACGCGATGGCGAGTGGATTTCGACAGTCATTGACGACAATCTCTACCTCAACGAGTCAGACTTTGACTACTACGGAGACGTCTATGATGCAAGTGGCAAGAAGGCCCGCCTGCATAGAAAGAGGCATCAGACGGGCTCTGATGCTCTCTACTTTGCTCGCTGCGATGATCAGAATGAAACGTGGTTGCCGCTTCTCGAGAAAGCATACGCCAAGGTTCATGGCGACTATGAGGCCATCTCGGGTGGCTGGCCCGGCGAGGGAGTTGAGGACATGACAGGTGGCGTAACCTCAACCATCGCAACTAACCGCGTGTTGAGAAAGGACAAGTTGTGGAAGGAGCTTGTCAACTCTGACGGAGAGTTTGTCTTCGCCCTTGCCGCCATGGGTACTGGGTGGGACTGGCAGAAGAGCGGCCTGGCGTTGGGGCACGCATACTCCATCCTTCAGTCACGAGAGGAGGTTGACGAGGACGGCAATAAGGTCCGCCTCGTTCAGATTCGGTCAGATTTGTTCCCAGAGTCTCAATATCTTGCCTTGCTCTGACACTTAAACCAACAGGAACCCTTGGGGCGAACGATCCGATGGTGGTGTCGGCGAATGGAACGGGCCATGGTCCGACGGCTCCAAAGAATGGACACCATACTGGCTTAAGCGCATGAATCATACCTTTGGCGATGATGGCGTCTTCTGGATGTCGTACCAGGATATGCTCTCGACCTTTATGTACATCCACCGCACGCGCCTGTTTGACGACAAGTGGACCGTCGTGCAACAGTGGACCTCCGCCAATGTATCTTGGGTGACAGGTTTCCTCCAGACCAAGTTCGTTGTAGAGGTCAAGAAGTCGGGCATGGTTGTATTTGTTCTGACGCAGCTTGACGATCGCTACTTCCACGGGTTTGAGGGACAGTACTGGTTCGAACTGCACTTCGTCCTTCAGCAAGCTACTTCTACCACCTCCGCGGCCAGCGATGAGTCCAAGGATGGAGAGAAGAAGAAGGCGGATGCCCCTAAGCCAGAGCAGATTTGCCGCGTCCGCCCTGTGCACAAATGGGAGAATCGCTCGGTGAGCTGCGAGGTCGACCTAGAGCCAGGCATCTACGAGGTTCTGCCTAAGATCACAGCCGTTCGTAACAGCGAAGGCGACGTCAGCACAATCAAGCCTGTTGAGGAGGTAGTCAAGGAGTATGCCGAACGCAACCCGCAAAAACTGCGACAGGTAGGCTTGCAGTACGATATCGCCCACGCTAAGGGTGGTGTTCGGAACGATGACGAGCTCGTAGAGAAGAAGAAGCTTGAAGCGAAACAGAAGAAGGAGAGCAAGAAAGCAAAGAAGAGAAGAAAGCAGAAGAAAGCGCTCGGTATTGCGGCGAAGGCGCTTGAGGATTCCGCCAAGGTTGTGTCTAACCTCGCGAACGAGGGCAAGAAGACCGAGGAAAAGAAGGATAGCAAGGACGCTGTGGGGAAGGAAGGGAAGAAGGCCGAAGACAAAGATGAAAAGAAGGAGGACAATTCGATTGCAATCAAAATCGCGGTTAAGGAGTCAGCTCAGCCCACTGAGGCAGAGAAGCCAGCAAACGTAAATACGTCAAAACCTGGTGATGGCCCGACTCCGGAGCCGAAAAAGAACGATGAAAAGGAGCCTACGGAGGATAAGACTGAGGAGAAGAAACTCGAAAGAGATGAGAGCGAGAAGAAGTCTGAGGAGTCAAAGCCAGCCGAGGAGACTGCCATCGTTGAATCTAAGGCCGAAGACGTCGCTGATGAGGCGCCTGTTGAGGAAGCGCCTGCTGAGGAGGATGAGGCTTCTGATTCAGACTCTGATGCTGAATCCACTGTTTTAGATGACGAAGAGGAGCTGGCTGGATCTCCATGGAACGCTGTCTGTGTCTTGGGCCTGCGTGTCTATGCTCGGGACCCCGAGGTTTCCATCAAGCTCGTCAAGCCGAGTGATGCCGAGGAGGCTTCAAGCTTGATTGTTGATGGCGAGGCTGCAGGTGCTACTGGTTGAAATTTGTAAATGATGATAGAAACGACCGTCATGAAACATCTCTGTAGGACCCAGCACGACTTTTCTCTTCTCCTTCCTTAACACTGAATGTTGTAGTGACCCTTGATGTTGATGAAGCTGGTTGACCAGCGGATCTCATTGCTCACATAGGAGGGCCTTAAAGTTTACATACGTGACCTCTCGATGAAATTCCCTACATATTTGCGCACAATTCAATACAACAGCTACAGCATTGCAGAAGCCTATCCTTTAGAAGCGCTTTCGAAGCATCTCTGCCAGGGTCCACTGATAGTAGGTGTTTATCGCTAGGGATCCGACAACTCGATCAGGAACCCCGCACTATTCCTATTCGGGTTATCAAAAACGCTGTATCCGAAGATGAGTCGAAAGATATCGAGGGATTGATCCAACTTCTTCATGGCATCTCGGTGTCTTCAACATCAGAACTGACAAAATGCCTCACAGATCTGGATTCTCAGTGTCATGTCTCCAATATCTATCATTGCTACTGGCATTCGTCGACCAAGGCCTTGCTTCACCAACCCACTCTCGGTCGCCCGGCTCTCCCGCAAAACATTTCCCCGCCACGGTCGACATCCCGGGATTCTCCCTCAGGCTCGGGTCCGACACGGCTAGTGTATGCAACAGCTCAACTCCCGGCGTCGCCGGCTTCATTGATACAACTGATGGCGATGATGAGAGTCATCTGTTCTTCTGGCTTTTTGAAAGCAAGCATCGTCCTTCTAATGATCCTGTAATATTATGGATGTCTGGGTCAGTGCTTCTCGTCGTCCCGAGCCAACACTAGCCTCTCAGCTAATTTTGTTTTTGAACATTGTCAGTGGCCCAGGAGCATCCTCTGCTGGTTATGGAAACCTGATGGAGTTAGGACCTTGTCGTATCGCGCCTGAGGGCGGGTATACTATTGATAACCCGCATGGTTGGAACACGAATGCGACCTTGATCTTTGTCGAGTGAGTGACTAATGTCTTTTGGGTACAACCTTGATCCTGAGGTTCGTGTCTATCACTTTCAAAGATGCTTAACTGACATTTGCATGGTCCAAATCCAGTCAGCCAGTAAGTGTCGGCTATTCAACGGGATCCAAGATACCCAATGGTCTGCAAGAAGCATCTCAAATGATGGATCGATTCCTTCGTCAATTCATGATCGCCTTCCCTCAATACTCAGGCCTTGATTTTTATATTGCTGGAGAGTCTTATGGTGGATCGTGGGTACCGGCTCTGGCTTCCACAATACTTGACAATCAGGCAAGCTCCCATGACATAAACTCCCATAATGTCGACCTCCATTCTGCTGCTCCAGGGTTCTCGGTTCAAAGCAACGAACATCATTGGGCAGGAGATCATTCACCGGTTCAGCTACCTTCGCGGGTTCCGCTCATCAACTTGAAGGGCATTCTCATTGGCAATGGATTAATACGACTTCGTGTTCAGAATCCAGGGACTTTCGAAGCGCTTTGCTCCGGGCCTGACAGTCTTCTCAGCACCTCTCAGTGTATTGAATGGGCCCCACTGAACCTGTGGTGCGAACAGAATCTAGGGGTCTGCGAAGGCACAGGCGATGATGAAGGATGGACATCCCGAGCTTGTATCGAGACACACGAGAAATGTTCCTCCATGAGCGGCTACGTTGTCAAGGCAATGAGGCGCAACCCTTATGACTGGAGACGACGATGTGGTGATGGTCCTTCGGAAGAATGCTACGCCGAGCTGGGCCACATCGACGCCTTTTTGAACCAGACAAAGGTAAAAGCTGCCCTCGGAGTCGACGAAGATGCTTCGTTTCAGGGAATCTCGTACGAAATCCTCAAGCAGTGGGAGAGCGTGGGTGACTTGTGGAAGTCCAGCGACGAGTACGTCAACGGGCTTCTCAATGAGGTAAGTAGCCCAAGCACAGAATAAGGCCTGTATTGCAACTCACTGACAACTCCTACAGGGGATTCGCGTTCTCATCTACGTGGGCGACAAAGATTTATACTGCAACGCAGCTGGAATGCGGCGGCTCATTAACGAGGGACTGGCATGGCATGGCCACCCCTTCTTCCGCTTCCGAGAGATGACTCCTTGGTACCATGACGCTAAGGTAGCTGGCAGGTGGAAGTCTTATAAAGAGCTTACCTATGCCGAGATATTCAACTCTGGTCACTTGGTCCCATTCGACCTGCCAGCCGAGTCTGCCTCACTAATCAACTCGTGGGTCCTGGATGAGCACCCACCAGTGCAGTAACCGGGGTAAAGCATATTGCGAACAGTTTCATACTTCATTAGACGGTTATTCGTATATGTATGCGTATTCTTCTCTAAGTAGAGTTAAGTATCGGACTCCGCAATTTCCAGTCGACCAAGGTTCCGTGAAGATGCAGGTAACGCTTCACACAGGCAATCTCCGGCCTGGGCAAGAAGGCACATATTCTCTCTTGGAAGACCTGGAAGCGGTTTCAGCCTCAGATTGTTTAATGTCGCCTCCAAATGCGCACATCTTGTTGCAATAAGTGACATTGTGGGGAGATAGCCGGTGTCGAATGTGAAATAAGGAGACCCTTCAAAGGTCGCAAGGACCTCCGGATCTACTATCCCTGCTTCTGTGGACATTGCTTTGAACACAGCCAAGTGACTGTCGTAGTCGTATTCTTTGTCACCAAACGCCGTGTTCAGCCATATCCTACAACATTCGTATCGCGACACAATGACGTATCGTAACGCCGTTGTTAGAGTCTCTTGCCCGGGGACAGGCTCGCTCGGTGGTGATGCAGGCCGGGCTTCAAATGCGTCAAATAGTAAGTCAAACCCCCCACTTCCTGGCACCCCCCTGTTTCTGGCACCCACAAAAACGATGGGATCACAACCCAACCTCCTCATTACTATTAACTATTGATCCTCAACCACACCCACTACAATACAACTGCCAGCCTCACTAGGGCATTCAGAGTCGCTGGATTCAGCCGTAATAACCTCCTTTTCACCCGCTTCGATTTGAGCCCGATGGATATCCCTGATGTTCGCAAACTTCGTGTTGGGATCGATCTGAACAGTCTTCCTCTTCCTAACTGCAGCGTTGGTAACTTGAGCCCTCAGGTGAGCCAGCTGCTGCTGGGCAGCTGCCAGTTGCCAGGCCTGCTCTGTGAAGCCTTTTTTCACCTTCCTGAACAGCAGCCGTTGAGTGCTGGTATCATTGTCGAGTTGGGTGTATAAGTGCAGTTGACCGCTGAGCTCTGCCAGCTTCCTGGGTGTCGACCAGACCACTGCAGAGGAAGCAGAATCCCATGGCTCAACAGGGGTAGTTTGTTGACCATTATGGCATCGCTTTTTGCCCCGACTGGTTGGTTTGGGTGTGGTGGGCAGCAGAAGGCTCAGGTAATACCATAGGGTTCATCAGGGGCAACCATCGCTACAGGGTGTAGACCAGTCCACTTCCAACCACTTCTGATGTTCGAGACTGATAGACCAGCAAGTCGAGCCTTCTGGTAACAGTCCAGGAAGTTCCTTTTACCTATAATGGTAGAGTCGTTCCATTGAGACAAGTAACCGAGCTCCTTCCGATAGGCTGACTTAACAGGGCTGAAGACAGACTGGTCAAGTGGCTGGAGGACATGAGAGGAGTGTGGTGGTAAGAACAGTAAATGGATATTGTTAATATATTCCACATGAAGTCTGTCGTCGTATGACTCCCATGCCCATCCACAATCAACAGTCGAGCCTCGCCCTCAGCCTCGGGCATAGTCTGTGGGATAAACACCTTCTCTAACCATTCAATGGCAGTTAAGTCTGTAGTCCAGCCATTATCTGTTGCTGTAAACTCCCACCCATCGTATGGAACCAGATGTAATGGAAACCACTGTTGTTGGACCGTCTTCCCTTGAAAATGATAAGAGGACGAAGTGCCCTACCCAAGGCTGAGATACACTCAATGATAGAGACCCATGCCCTCGACCCAGGTTGTTTCTTGCGAACAGACGTCGTCTCAGCCATGCCCAGCACTAACCCATTAGCTCCTGACCCTCGAGGATGCCAGTCTCATCCATATTATATCTGTTGGCTGGTTTGATGTCCTTGATCTCAGGGATAGCAAGGAACTTAAACCAGTTCCTAATGACCTCAGTAGATGCCCCATTAACGCGTCTAGAATCGATGGAACGACTTCTCTGAACCTTAATGATAGGGTTCCTTCTCACGAAGGCATAGATCCAGCCTTTTCTAATGGTTTGGTATCCCCAGCAGCAGCCAGAACTCGCTCTGCGAATTCCTTCACCTGTTGGTGCGTTGGTGCGAGGCCCAGCGAAGCCTGAATGCGAACCCATTGTGCCAGCTTACTCTCTGGTCAGGAGACAGCCTCTGCCAGTCAGCAAAAGCCACCACCTTGGAGACGTAGTTGGAGGGTTGATCGTGGTATCCCATACTCCAATGAGGCTCTCTTTTGACTCTTGCCGTTTGAGATGTCCTCGAGAGCCTGACGAAGCTGATCTTCGGTATATTGAGGCATTAGATATAGAAGAAGGTATGTGCAAAAAATGAGCCCATTTGGACTCGAATTGAAAATGTTGTGATAAAAGGAGGTTGGGGGTGGGCATTGCGTTGTGGTGGATTTTCGCGTTTTTGTGGGTGCCAGAAACAGGGGGGTGCCGGGAAGTGGGGGGTTTGACTTACCTTCCACTGATCTAGTGATGATGCAAGGCTGGCTTGCTCAACGAGTAGGTCAGGCGGCACAGTCTGGTGTTCTTCTAGGTACATTCTATAAGGGTCGCCATTCCGCACCAAGCGCATGGTGCGGCTGAAGATGTCGTCAACCATTCTTTGGGCGTCATAAAATGTTGAAAAGCTGCTGGGAATCGGATGCTCGAGACCTTCCAGATTGGGAAAGTCTCTAGGATCGGTCGCGTGCAGGAAAGCATAGATGCTCAATCGTCGAAACAGAGGCAGTAAGTGTTCCTTAGTCCATGCATAGTCCCTGATTGTGCTTTTCAAAAGCTGGAATCCGTGCTTCAAATGTTTCACCGTCTCATCACGGTTGACTTGTAGGAATTCAATAGTGATAAACAGCAGACACACCAGCAGTATAACGGGACTTCGCTCAGGAGAGGTCATAGTCCTGAGGTCACGGATAGCTGTGTTATAATGTTGCAAGGCGTAAAGATCGTCCTTCAAAAGAATCTCTTCATCCATGTCCTCCCGGAATTGTAGACGTTCACAGAGGGTACTGATGGCAATGACAGAGTGGCGTGCGGCTGGTTCGAAACTGGTGAACTGCATGACCAGTTTAGGCCAAAAATGAGGGTCCACGGCGCCCGACATGTAAGGGCCGGCTACTTCGCAGAAGAACTGCAAGGCTCTGCCCTCTCCGACGCCGTCTGCCCCCGGAAATACGTGGTGCGGTCGGTAACGGCGGAGTTGGGACTTGTTTGTTGGCGAGGGCGCCGGACTGTAGCCATCACACTGGCGGCCGGTGGCTTCGCAGCGATTGCAGGTTGGCTTGGTCTCGTCGCACTTCACTTTACGTATCCTACTTGGTCATGAGAGATTAGATGCGAGGTATCTTCTGAGGCAAGTTTCCAGCTCTCACTGTGTAAGGTACCGATGGATGGAATGGACACTCGCAGGCACACTCACTTGCATGTTATGCAGCCAGTTCTAGTCTTCCGACTGCCCTTTCGAGCCATCGTGTTTCTGCTTCAGGCCGTCTGCGTACCTAAGGCCACGACCCCACTCGGCCAGCCTCTCCGTCGAAGCGATAACGGGGCAAGCCACCTGCGGTTCTCATGACCCCGGAGCGGGTGAGGGAAGCTTAACCTAGCCGTGTAATGTCGACAAACACGTTGGCGACGACGGGCGTGCGTGCGGAGAAGAAGGAATTCTGGCGTCTGGAGATAATAATTCGGGTGTCCCTTCATGGTGCGTCTGCGGGGCGACAAGGGTCCAATGCGAGCCAACCAATATCAGCATAGCTCAGGCCAGCCAACAATGAAGAGCGACGCCCAGAGTCCTTGATTGGTCAGGCCGATGGACCATGAGACGGGGCTCTCGATGATGGAAAGTCTCAACTTTCGGAGTGAATGAGATGAAAGCTATATGTCAATATTTTTTGGATGCTCGTGATAATTGGGGTGTTAGGATGCAGGGTTGGTCTTCCTCAGTGAGCGTCTCGCCGCACTCTTATGGAGAATCAGAACGTAAGCTTATTACACAAGAAACTGCCTGAAGGATTTGTCGGGGTGGCTGTGACTGTCATCATGTCATTTTACTCTCTTGGATCAGGCAGCCACTGTTCAGCTGTCTGCTAAGCCCTTGAAAGCTTGCGCTTATGTCGCATCAGCTCAACGGAAAATCACAGATTTGGTAAGTTACCCGGATCAAGCGTTCATGACGGCGAATACAATTAGTCTACATACACCGTTGACTTTTCCCTTGAATTTTTGTCTTCCAAGAATAAGCCATAATACTAGACACCAAGCGGAATGTTCGAAACTGCAATTGTATGAAAATCGAAGGTTGACGAAGCTGAAAATCCGTCGGATCGAGAAGGTCGTCCAATGAATAGGATTTGTAAAGAAGTCGCTGAGATTGCATACCCTGAGCTGAGTCAAGTCTATCGATAACATATCCCCGCGCCCAGTAAGAATCAACGAAGCCGGTAGCGAATGTATCTACTTCCGTTACTGGTCCAGAGATCCACGCGGTCAATTTCCTTATCCTCCATCGCGGTGAAGGTTGACGGAATGCCTCGAACAGCGCGGCCAAGCGGATTCTGGTTCACGAGCCAGTTGAATGCCTTCCGCTCATCGGTTCCCTCCTCAGTCTTGTCGATCTGGAGTTCATTTGGTTCGCCCGCATCCTGGCTTCTCTCCATCCACAAATATGCCTGCTTGATCGACTCTAGTGCGTCTTCGTTTGTGATACTGGCGAAGCTGACATACTCGAGCTCCGAGACGTATTTGTTCGAGTATTCCTTCCAAGTAGCCATCATGATGGTCCGGAAACGACATTTGCGCGGCTCCGGTGTGGGGTCGTCTTCGTTGATCGCGTTGAAGACTCTGATTTCGTTCTCGCTTGGATACACAGCCATGTCATCCATGCTCCAGAACATGTCAGGCTTCCAGTCCTGGGGCGAAGGAATCATGACGCCGACATCGACCCTCACAGAGTCCGAACGACGGTGGGCTTGGAAGATGTAGCCTCTCTTTGTGATATCAGGCACACGGCCATCTTCGGTGTCGCTTAGATCGGCTGCAGCCGTTTGCTCTTCATTGTCTGATTCAGACTCGACTTCTTGTTCTGGCTGGGCTGAGCTAGAACCTTTGCTGCTCTTGCCTTTAAAGATGCTCTTTAACTTCCATCCCCGACGAATGATTTCAAAGTTACCTGAACGCTCTGCTAGCGACAGTGCATCAATGTCCGTTGCAGCGCTGTGGACAAAGCCACTCAAGAAGAGAAGAAGGCCAAAGATGGCAGTCGAAAGTAAGAAGCGCATAGTGGCGAGATTCACAAGAGGAGGAGAGTGTGAAAATCTGAATAGCGATCTCGTCAAGCCATTTCGTTTTCAAGGAGTTTTGTCTCGATTTAAAGCACGGTTTGGGGGATATAATTGGCGCCTTTCCCCAGAAGTCGGCTGGTCTTTTGGGCTGTCCAGGCTGTAGCCCATCCTGGTAGGGAATGACCGGAGAATGCAGAGATTACTCACCATAATAGTGTTCATTTATCCCACCGCCGGTCTGATTCGGTCATAACCGAAACGGATGGTTTTCAAATGACTTCACTCGAAGCTAAGGGCGGTTAAGAGACGAATTACACGGAACCTCCCAGCCCTATCCAGTTGTCCCTCAATTTCATATAAGTTTCAGGTTGACCACAAAATAAAGTTGAACTTGCGCTTAACGTTTGGGAACTAGCAGTCATTGCTTCGAATAATTCGCCTCCAAGGCTATGGTTTTGGTACACTTGCACGATTCTGATCCTGGGGAACGTCACGTAACAGAAACTTGCCGCACTGTTGCACGGAGTATCCATAGCCTTTTACGTTTAGACCATACTCTAATTGGGATAATAATTAAATTGTTGTCATTCATTGACACTTCTGTCTTTCATTTGGTTGTGGAACTGTAGCCAATGGGCACAACCGGATTCGGCCCGCATCCTTAAAGTTTAATATACGTGCCAAGCTATCCGTACTTCATCCTTGAACTTTGGCCCGACTCGGGAGGTACATGCTTTCCGCATGCGATCGGCCCGGCCCTCCATGCAGGCACGACGGCCTAGAAGACGTGTTAACTCGAAGCTTCATGATGGAGTTGTATCTTGCTACTAGACCTGGTAGCTCGTAAGCAGATTAGATTAGGCTTAGAACGCATGGTGAATCTGGGCTGATGTCGCATCATCACACGTCATTCGAGAAGTGCAGGGCGCCTCGTATTGAGAACTTGGCAGCGAGGACCAAAAGGTCACAGCTTTTTCTAGAAAAGTCTAATTCCTTTGCCTCATCGTAGATGGTTTCTGAACCGCCATCTCTAATTAGCGGCTGTGCCCACAAATTTAACTAAACACAACTCAGTAGTCAGGTAAGGCTGACAAGTATTTCTGAAGAAGTCGCCGAGAATGCACACGGGGCCGGCTCGACCGAAGGTACACTTTCTTCTGGGAAATTCCAAGGCAGAACTTGTAGATCCCGTACGGATTGCCGGGTCCGGGGCAGTGTCAAGCAACCTTATTCTCCGCCAGAAAATGACGAGAGTCAAGTATGAAGTGGTCTGGATTCGGAAACACCGCATAGAAGCTCACATCATATTCAAACTAATTAGATCTTGCATGAGAGAGTTCGCAGGCTATAACGGTTTAGGTGGAGTCAACGTTGAAATTACATGTAGGTACTGCGATAAAAGTCACATTGAAAGTCTGAAGTCAGCCACTAACAAATAAAGTCACAGTAGTATCCGCGTTCGTGAGCCAGTGTGTGCCAATTGTTCCAATATCTCTAATGCCATCGCTTCCTTCATTCCAATCCACCCGATCCAACTGTGGTCTTTTGTAGACTCTTAACTTCCGGCAAACGGATTCAGCATGAAGCTCAGCATATTCCAGCCATCGCTTGGCTGCCTCTTCATTCATGGCGCATTGTCGTCTGTCCTCCCACGAGGCAATGATGATTATGCCGGGCATCCGACACTGGGCCACGATAAGATCGTCCCGCTCACCCAGAGCGCCTCGACAGGACTTGAAGGACAGTTAGAGCTTCGATTCAATCCGTTCCTCTATGTTTCAGGCGGCTGCGATCCGTATCCCGCCGTAGATGCCACCGGCAATCTTGGGTAAGATCAGACTTGCTGTCTTCCACATGATCCATGGGCACGAAATGAGACTAACACAAGGCGAATTAGAGAAGGTCTGAGGCCTACTGGAGGTGGCAGAAGCGGATGTGATGCTGGAGGCACTGCCCAAGTCTATGTCAGAGGTGGACAAAGTCAGGACCGTACTGGTATCATGTTTTCCTACTACATGCCCAAGGTCCGCTGGGGTAAGGGCAACAACGAAGGTCATAGACACTACTGGGCCAGCGTTGTAGTCTGGTTGAACCAGTTTGGCTGCGGGGAAGACGCCTCATCCGTGTCGCCTGTGGGTGTGTCATTTACGACCGATCATCTTGTCTGGGATACTGCACCGGCGGGCAAGATTTCGTACGCTTCCTCGGGAGTCGGTGTGGATACGCCGACACACCCCAAAATGCAGATTCACGACAACGCCTTCTCCCCATTCACGGGTGCTGATGGAGACAAGGTGTTTGAGCGCACAGCCATCAGCTGGTTTTCTCTTCCCGCGGCTGCGCAGAAAGCTTTGTCGGATGTCAAATACGAAAAGACTCAAGTGCCATTCACCGACGCCAACTTCCAGGCTCACCTGGACGCCGCATACCGAGAGAGCTTTTACGGCGGGCTTACAGACCAGGAGGGGTGCTTCAGTCAAGAGGCTGGATCCAGTGTGAAAGAGGATCCGATCAGCAATTCGCCCCCTAAGGACAAGGAGCCAGCTGGTGCTCCGCCTCCGAGCGGCGAGAAGGGGCCCACGAATGCGCAGTGACTGATAGAGGATTAGGATGAGAGGCGCTACTGATCGATACTTCAACAATTACACATATCCAAGATAGAATAGCAACAGGCTGCCCAAAACCTGTCAGAAAAATTCAAAGAATTATGCATGTAATCTGAGCTTTGGGGGAGGTGGTCAGCATAATATCCTTGTGGAGCCGAGCTTAAGTATCTTTGATAATCCGAGAATAGACAAGATAAGCTAGAATAGTTTAATCCGGCCGCGCTATAAAGGCGAAGTTTCTTTGGCAAGCTCTTCCGAAGCAGGTGCTTAGTGAAGTAATATAGACTTTTCCAATCAACCATAATAGACTCAAGGACAAGTCAGCGCAGCATTATCTAATGTAACAACCATGCAATGTCGACCTCCCCACAGCTTCTCGGATGAAACGAATGATGCTTCTATGTTGTATTCGAATGTCTTACTTTAATATCTCATTTGTATCATCGCAGAGAGTCTACCTACCTCTGGAAAGCGATAATATAATATGGACGTAGGAACTCAATCTACCTTACCCAACCAATTTACGCCGACTGACGACTACTGGGAATACTTCCTATTACTAGTATCCCTCCTGTGTCAAATATTGGCTTGTGACTATCACTATCACATCTAGTCCTAGATAGAATAGATTACTCAACAGATTATACGACTTTTCTTTTCTTTTTTTTCTTTGGGGTTGGGGTTCTCTCATGATACTCAACAGAAAGTGACAGGGATATGGATTCGAATAGTTAGGTCAAGACATAATTCCTTAGTACTCAAAGGACATGCTTCAGAATGATTGGTAAATGTTATTCAATGCTTGATGGATTTTGTTGCATCCCATGAAATTCCAACAGTGCCACATTCCGGATCTTGATACGGTTTGCTACCAACCCCCTCTCTTCAAGTTATTGATACTCTACTGAGTTATTTTCATATACAGGTAAGATATTTTCTAGTACATCTTCTAGACCGAGTAATCCGAATGTAACTTGTTGCCCAAGTTTTCGCACATGGTGATAAGAGCAAATTCGAACGGTCGCCATCCCCCAGGCCCCAGCTCAAAGAGCCTGACAAGTCAAAGCCATACCATTATCCTGAGCCTTCTGCAGAAGTTCGTCATAAGCAGAGTCCATCTCGGACTGCGTCAGCCAGCCGCTCTGTCGCATTGCATTCAGCGCATTCTTGAGGTATTGCCAGCAGTCGTATCCGTTCGAGGGGAGAAGATCCGTGTCATTGATAAGCTCGTCGACTTCATCGAAGGTGTCGACGTATCCGTTGATGGGAATATTGGCGACAAGTTTCGGAATTGCAGAATCGACGTAGCTGCCTGACTCACGGCGATCGCGGTCAAGCTTGAAAGTTCGGGTTTGGCCCTTTTGAGTCGCGTGATAGCGATAGGATACAGCATATTCGTCGCGGTCTATCACGATAGCTACGTGATAAGATTGTTTGTGGTAGCATACCAGCCTTGCTTGGAGCTTTTCGGCCTCTCGCTTGTGTAAGGATACGTCCTTCGCTATGTCTCCATTGTCTACGGGAGTGGCATAGACGCTGGTGACGTTAAGAACGATAGATAGTAAGGCAAGATAGAAGTAACCAAGCAACATGATTAAGAGGGGTCAATTGCCTAAGCAGGAGTCTGAAGATTTAGGCTAGTGATGCAAAAGTAAAAGGCGAGTGGTTGAGGCACGGTAGAGGGCGTTTAGTCTGCTCAAATATCTTCGATGAGACACGACGAGATACAACAAAGACTTATATCCTCTCTTGTCTTAAGAATGACTGAATGAAGGCGCTAGCCTCACTTCATGTGACACCGCTCCATAGGACATTTCTCGAAATTGACAGATATGAAGAGGCAGAACTAAGTTCGACGTAAGACCCGTCGTCATTTAGGTGGAGCGGCAAGACCGAGGCTCAATGACGATCACCCTTCCGTCTGGGGCATGGAGTCGAGTTGGATACTTTCTGAATGTCAGAAGGTTGCTTGACGATAGAACTCGGTCACCATGATTGAACGGTCCTGTTTTGACTCCTTGTTTGCAAACGAGAAGTAAAGGATGGCACTGGCACATGATGGAACAGGTAGCATGCAACCTACATGCTGAATGCATGCAAGGAATTTTACTACGTATGGAATACCTTTCACATCACAGGGGTACCAATCAAAACTTATGGAAAGATTCTAGTCAGGCCAACACTGATGACCATGCCAATCCATCAGTGCTAGGTTGGAGATATTCCCGGATTCACCGGATATAGTGTACTATAATCAAGCTTTCACCGCGACAAGTGTCATTTTATTCTACGGAGTAGTCCGCTCTACACTCCAACCGAGCTCAAGATGATCTTCTAAATAGTACACAAGTCAACTCCGCCAATTATTGATTTCTGGTCAAACCAATGCTGGATCCCCATGGTAGTTGTACTGCACCGGAAGAAACCGAAATCTACCAGCGTATGTTGATAGTGTTTTTACTTAGCAAAAGTGTCCGCCAGGCATTGACCCTGGCGGGCGTTCCACTACCCCTTGTCATGGTGAACCGAGGTGCCGTTCCGGCGGGTTATTCCCATTTTTGGACAAGTGCTGCATTGCTTTCGCTTTGCCTATAAGTTTGAGTGCGCAAACTACTCAGTACTTTTCCGTTAGGTGTTTCGATTGTCTGAGACGCTTTAGGTGGTCTCGGCATGACATAGCCCATCACGGCAGGTCTCAGCTGCTCCTCTGACTACGAGCTATCTACGCCGCTTTAAGCAACGATTTCACGTCGATTTCCACTTCATGTAGCAGTCCTGACTCAATCATCCTCCACTGGCAAGAGGCCCAATTGTCCCCGTTCTGGCAGAAAACGTTGTGTTTGAGTTTACCAGGACTTGGAATACGCGTATATTCAACTGCCAAATGATGCGAGCGATTCCCCTTCGTTTTCGGAGTCGGGTTTCGGCAGCTAATAAGGACCGGGCCCGCCATTGCTCTCCAGCCTAAATGACTCGTGAAGAATACAAATACCGCTGCAAATAATATCACGGCCATCGAGAATCAAAGATTTCTTGCCCGCCCTCTAACGTGATGCGTGAAAGATGTTTAACGACTCATTCTCAATCAGGAGGCGGCTCTTGCGAGGCGCCGGGGGTATGGACGACACGGCGACAAGCACGACCGAAAAGCACGACCGAGAAGCGGGCCGCCACAGACCAGTTCAATCTCAGCTGCATCTTTGATGTTATCGCCCATGGACTGCTGATGTAGAGACTGTAGTTAGCACTCGACAGAGCTATTATTGATACTCGCTGCTTTCTCGTATCAGCCTTCATCGTATTACTTTTAGCGGGAAGCTGCTGCCTAATGTTGCCATGGCGACTAACAAAAGTTCCCTAGACTACCTCACTTTCTTTAGTTCTTTTGAACAGTCTCGTGCTCTCGCTATCTGGCCACTTGGCGGGGTTTGCGTTTTCAATATCTCTTCAGGCATAAGCGCACAAGTATCACTGAAATCGCCAAGCACACTGGTACTTGCTTTCATTCTCCCTGCATCAGCCCTCACCTCGAATCGGAGTCGTAATGTATCCTAAGCTTGGTAGTGGTTTTAAAAACGGCGGGATTGCAAGTCTTGCGATCCTTCTATTTGCCACGACGGTAGACTGCATCACTCCGCTATCATCTGGCCTCGCTAGCACTGGAAAATGCAAGCCGGTGACTTGGGAAGATTCCACAACCCCCGGCCGACCCGCGGCCACGATTTCACGACCACGGGCATGCGCAACTCACACAACCATTCATGGGATCAGAGGTGCCGACACAAAGCCTGGAGAGATCAACTGTCGCTATACTAGCGACACCAGTGAGAACGTGGGTCCGGATACCTGTCAAGAGCTCGCAACTCGTTACGGGATTACACTAGACAAGTTCTTCTTCCTCAACCCTTCTCTGGACCGAGACTGCGGGAACATACTTCCTTGCGCCTCATACTGCACTCGCGGATGTACGTGACCCCAATGCACGAGCTTGTACTGTAACCAAACTTATCTTTCCACTCGCGTTAGTCGTTGAACCGAAAAGGGCGTGGGATGGCATATGTGGTCCGTCGCGTCCGGGGGTCACCTGTGTCGGGACGAACGGGCAATGCTGCAACTCTGAGACCTGGCGATGTGGTCAGAGAGAGTAAGTGATAGAGTCCCGATCCTTTCCTAATGTTGATGGCCGTCTATCACCGGAACTCGAATATGCTGACCATGTTCACCACGCTTCAGCATAGACTGTGCTCCGGGCACCTGCTGGGAGGGTATTTGCTGGGGCCACAAGGTGTACACCACCGATGGGACCTGCGGATATGCCAACGGGAATCGCAAGTGTGCTGGCAAGCAGGGAACTTGCTGCAGCATTTATGGCCGCTGCGGCAGATATGAAGACTTTTGCGGCGCTGGAATTTGCCAATCCGGAGACTGTGAAAGTCCACAGTCACATATGGACGTATTCCTCATGAACGAACAGATATGCCGCATTTGAGTGGTCCATGTAAGTACGCAGACAGAGTATGAGGCTCAAGGCAACGTTGTCGGAATGTGTTCTCCCCTTGATCTGGCAGGGCGGGCTCGGATTCTGACGAAGGTGGGACCATGTGAAAATAGAAGTGAGGGGCATTTTGCGATACCCCGCCAACGTGGGTAGCCTCAACTCGATCGCACGGCTCTCCTGGTAAAAGCAGATAATCTTCATGTCATCAGAAAAATAAGCTTAATCCGACTAGTGATGCATCTAGAACCATCAGAGACGGCTCGTAACATGACAGAAGCCAATGATTGCTCGCAACCGGTGGGGTGAGGCAAGACGGAAATCACTTCCCGTTCTCCCTAGGTGGTTAAACATATTTCCGGGAGCGGTTTACTCACGATTAGAAATCCACGCCGACGTCATAGAAGACAGCAATAATTAGCTACGTAAGTCACACGTAAATCACGCCAGTGATAACATCACTTCCTTGCCATTTATAAGGCGAGCCCGCAGTTCAATTTAGCTTCCTCATCTTAACTGTATACGATACAAAGCGTTACAATGACTGCCAAGATCTTCATCACAGGAGCCACGGGCTACATCGGCGGCGACGCCCTTTACCAGCTGTACCAGAAGCACCCCGAGTTCGAATACGCGCTCCTCATCCGAACTCAGGAAAAGGCAGACAAGGTTCTCGAGAAGTACCCGAAAGCCAGGATTGTCATTGGGGGACTCGATGATTCGGAAACCCTAGAGCGCGAGGCAGCATGGGCTGATGTCGTACTTCGTAAGTTGTCTATATCTTAGACACGAGCTAGACCCCCCACTGACCTTTATCTCACCTCGCTCAGACACCGCCGACTCTTCAGACCACGCAGGGGCAGCCAAGGCCATCGCAAAGGGTCTCGTATCGGGCCACTCGTCATCCCGGCCAGGGTTCTGGCTGCACACAGGCGGCACCGGTATCCTGACCTACTTCGACTCGGAAGTCAAGAAGACGTTTGGCGAGCACGACGACAAGGTCTTCAACGACTACGATGGCGTCGACGAGCTGGTCAACTTGCCAGCTGCCGCATTCCACCGCAACGTGGACGAGATCGTCCTTGAAACCGGCAACAAGCACGCCGATTCCGTCAAGACTGCCATCGTCTGCCCTCCCACGATCTACGGCCAAGGGCGAGGACCCGCGTCGGGAAGAGGCCGTCAGGTATACGAACTGGCTACATTTGTGCTGAAGGAGGGCTATAGTCCCCGTATTGGAAAGGGACTTGCTCGGTGGAATAACGTTCACGTTCATGACCTCAGTGTGGTGTTTGAGTTGCTGGTTGAGGCCGCGCTCGACCCATCTCGGAAGGAGGACAAGGAGATCTGGGGTGCCAAGGGATACTTCCTCACGGAGAATGGCGAGCATGTTTGGGATGACTTGTCGAAGCTTGTAGGGAAGGCAGCACATGAACAGGGCTTCATTAAGCAAGAGCCTGAAGTCCGGGAGTTGTCTTATGATGAGGCCGTCAAGTCATCTGCTGGCTTCGAGGCAGCCAGCTGGGGCCTGAACTCTCGGGCATCTGCCTTGCGTGCGAAGAAAGTTCTCGGATGGAAGCCACAGGAGAAGAGTCTAGAGGATGAAGTGCCGACCATTGTCAAGTCTGAGGCAGCTAGGTTAAAGCTTTAGAACCCACATAAACTCAAGGTATCATACCTAAAAATCGGTTGATCATCCGAAGTTTGGCAGCATTCGTACTTACAGCATTCGTACTTACAACATTCAACATTACATAACCAGAGACCAGTCGTCTCACGCGTATGCCAGTGCAAGTCGTGTGGAGGGTTGAGATAACACTCGATGGCGTGCTCAAAGTCGGCCGATGGCGGAGATGGTCGGCAATTATCATGCACATGAACCGGCGCAGGATGCGATCTCGACATTGCTCCTCACTTGCGCGTCATCTCCAACCTACCTTACATAAGTAACATTGAACAAACTTGTCTAATACCAAATACCGATGAGGATTCAGTACATATATCAAGACGCCTTAACTCCCATTCTCATCAACCAACCTCACTGTAACACTTAAGAATCACACGTTTGAGCCTCAATATAGTTCACCTCCCAAATCC